GAAGTGAACTCCAAAGGATAAAGTGAGATCAGAATCGGTAGTGTGACTGAGTGAAAGGGAATATTTTCTCTTTGAATTGACCCACATACAATCATTTTGCCTTCTATTAGGGATATCCATTACACCTCAATGGCCTTTCAGGATCTCCTGGATCAAGTTGGAGTCCTGGGGAGATTCCAGATGTTTCTGATGGTTTTACTGTAATTGCCAAGTCCTAGTGCACTCTCACATTCAGTAGAAGAATGTCACTGCAGTCAACCCTGGTCATTGCTGCTGGGTCCACATCTTGACAATGACACTGTTTCTGGTAATGTCACTGGAATCCACTGCAAAGATGCCCTCCTGAGAATCTCCATCCCACTGGACTCAAATCTAAGGCCATAAAAGTGTCACCACTTTGCCCATTCCTAGTGACAGCTCTTTCAACTGAACGGTACCTTCTCCAACACAAGTGAACAAGACAGAGCCTTGTGTAGATGGCAGGGTATATGACCAAAGATCCATCCACTCTACCATTGTAACTGAGGTAAAAGGCCCCGTTTACCTCTCATGAGTGCATGACCTGGGTGTTTAAAGATAACACAAGTAATAAACGTGCTTCTACCTTTAATCACTATGTAAATACTTATTCTTTTTTCTTTAAGCAAATATTTATTGCTTCTCTACTAAATGTCAAAAAATTATACAGATAATGAGGCTAATGAATTCAAGAATAGACATGAATTCTGCTATCATAGCCCTTTTATTAGAGAGAAAAACCAAAGTTTTAGCAAGCAATTTATGTATTTTGTTAAATATGTATACGAGGTCAGACATGTTCAGCCTGTGGTTGTAAATTATAAAAATCCAGATTTTTTTTTTTTGAGAGATAGGGATTTTGTTTTGTTGTTTTTTGTTTTTGTTTTTCTTTTTTTTCTATAGGGCACATGCACTCTCCAGAGAGACAGAAAGTAAGAAATCACACACACACACACACACACCCAAGAAGCTATGGTCACACCGCAATCCCTTCTCCTCCATTGTCCACTCAGGATTTTGGGCATGCACACTCATGCGCCCTGGCATGAGTTTCAAGCTATCGGGTCCAGGACTTGAATCACAGTCAACTACATGGGAGTCCAGTGATGTAACCATTAAGCCATCTGCAGGTCCCCGATGCATTTTATTTTTAATCATCTATGCCTACTTTCCCCAGAGGTCATATGAGTATCTGGGGATGAGAATCAGGCATCCATAAATAGAAGAGAGAAATGAGAAATAACTACTAATGGTTGTAGAGTTTCTTTTCTGGGTGATGGAAATGCTCTAAAATTGGTTATGGCAATGGTTGCACAACTCTGTAAGCATCCTAAAACAATTGAATTGTACACTTTAACTCAGTGTATTGAATGATATATGTTATGTATCAATGCAGCTTTTTTAAAAAATTATTTTAAAAAACAAACCTCAAGTAATTGCACAGTATGGCCAAGGTTGAGAACCACTTAGTAAGAATTAAAACTGGGCATTAATAAGACCTGCATATTTAGAGGATGCTTCCAAAAGAAAGTTACATTTAGGCTAAGACTGAGTAACAAAAGTCAACTAATGCAGACAAGGAAAGAGAAAAAGATAAGGCCCTGATATCATGAAATCTTGCAAGTCATTTTAAGCTTTGATACACTGGTTTCCTTCTCTTCCAGTGGGGCCTGGTATGTGAATCATAGTCACTGAATTCAGTGGCTAAATTTCTATTTGTGGATAGAATGCTGGCGGGAGGCATTCTGTCAGACAGGTGAGTATCTCTTGTTCACAGATACTATGTATTTTCATTGGCTTATGAGTCATTTATGTATTATATTAAGAAATATTTATTCTGGCTGGATAGTGGCACAGGGGAAGGGCATGATGGTCTGCAAGTTCAGCCCACATGAAAAGGTTCTGGGTTGGGGTCTGTAGGCTTTCCTAAGTGAACCAGGCACCAGGGCTGGCCAAAGCTGGGAGTGGGTCAGAGCATCAGGGCCCTGGGGAGGGTGCCTGCATTTCTCTCTCTCTCTCTCTATCTCTCTCTCTCTGTCTTTCTCTCTCCTCTCTCACACTTGTGGAAGAAATAACTAACTAAACTTCTAAAAAGAAATATTGCAAATTACGCTGTCCATGAGCGGTTTGGTCCCAAGGGATCTGCAAGCACAAATAGAAAATTACCGTCAGTGTGATGAGTGCTGTTTTTAAAGTTTGAGTTGAGTTTACATGCGCAAAACAGAAATGACATCTCTATGAGCTGTGGGAGTGTTTCCAGAGGATTTAGAGAGAAAGTGCCACAATACATGGTTTTAAAAAGATGAGAAGGAGCTAACTATGGAAATAGCAAAGAATGTTTTACTACATGGAATTTAGCTTATTTGATATGGAAAACAGTGCTGTCAGCTTTGTTCAGGGACACTGTGTTGAGTCCCTCCTGGACACTGTGCACTGACTGCTTGACGTGCCCAGAGTATACTCATCATGTCTTAGTTGCCCACGGATGGTGAGTGGAGACTCCTATTATACCTGTAGGGTGCACAGAAATACATTATTGGTGGTGTGCTGAAAATATATGCCAGTAACCTTGATTTTCCTTTTTCAAAAACAGGATTTGAAAGAGAACTTTTCAACCATGTAAGGTAAGTAATATAATAACAACTGCTATCACAATTTGTGGTGTAAGAATTTTGAGTCCTGTGCCTGATAATATCTCTTCTGAAATAGGCAGGCAACCATTGCCACTAACCAAGTATGTCTCTTCTAATGGATAGGAGAGAACTGAGGTATCCTGTACCATAGCCAGCGTAATGGCAACTGTTGTTCAACCAAAAAATACAAAATCTAAATGTATCACAATAAATTAAATTTATAAAAGAGCTCAGTATCAGAGGGTTTATTCCAAGAGTCCCGTAACCCATTTTGTAATGATATCATGAGATGGGTGCACACAGACATATATGTACATGCCCAGCATAAATTTTAAGCTGCTGGTCCAGAACTCAAACCGTGGTGGACTGGTTGGTGTACCCCAATAAATATAGTGTGGGACCAGCAGTTGGCATAATGGCTGTGTTGCTGGACTCCCACATAGTCGGCCACAA